CGTTTTTGCCGTCTTAGTTACCGTAGGTTACTTAGTGACTTGCTAATAGCTTAGAAGTGGTTAAAATCACCACAAGAAAAAAGATTTTGCCAAACGGTCGCTATCGTGACTTTAATGGAAACTTGAAGATAGCTGACCGACAACGGGGGGATAACTGTTCGTACCTTTTTACTACCCACGTCCACTACCAGTGAAGTGCACTGCGTGCAACGGTAGCTACATTTCCAACTGTTGGCAGACTCGCGAAAAGATTGGACGGCTGCGCAGCAACATGTGGCTTACGCTTATCCAGTTGTAGTACGGACCACGGTGAAACGACCAACTAACTTCTCATCGATCTAACGCTCCGTTGCCCACATACTGGTTCTCTTCCGTTACCAACATCTAGGTGGGCCCGACTCAACCTAAAACCTCTGCATCATGTGCTTAATCTCTTCAGTTAACAAGCTGCCATTAATATTTTTACTTCTACCTTCATTACGGACCCCGGTAATGCTGGTGATGAAAGCCAAAGTCCAGAGCAACACCAGAAAACAAATCTTATTCACGGAGCCACCGTTTTTTCTACACTTGGCCGCAACGTCACAGCATTGACGATCAGCGTATACCAAAAACCTGTGAAATGATAGCGAACAACACTTCTGATCGTATTTCTCCCACGTCCAGGGCCAACGGCCAGTGGGCACCACGGCGAAACTGTGGTGAACCGGTGTATGGAAAACTGCTGCTACCAAAGACGTGTGAGTTTACCAGTATCTGGGCGTCGCTGACAACCTTCCTCCTCCTTTCTCTCTTCCTGACTCTACGATTTTACAATTCAGCAAGGTTGCCGATATCACAGTTTTCCTTCCCTCTCTTTTGTTTCCCTCACTTCTCCTCCTTTGTTCTTCTTAGTTACCTTTTATCCTTTTAATCTTTCTCTCAAGACCAGCGCCGACAGCTGCCTGGCGACGCGACGATTAAGGAGCCCTTCTGCACAACACCCACGGGGAAAATCGGAATCTTTCCCAAAAATTTCACCATCGGCCAGACACTTGCCCAGTTTCCCTGCGCTACGGTCTGCAAGCGGGCGAATCCACTGCGATGGAACCTGCCAATGGCCTGCAACCATTCCCCAAGACCTAGAGTAATGATACTAACAATACACGTATTTCATGCAACATAGTTTACATGAATACAAACCAGCTTACAGCGTCGACGCCGAAATGAGGCCACTGGTCCAGAATTTCCTAGAGTTTGATGGTGTATTACAAGAATGTCTCACTGCCAAATCAAAATAAATCGAGAGCAAGCCGCTGATTGTCCACACATCCAAACGGTCTTTAGTTCACGGTTTGTGTGAGTTCGTCTATGCCTTAGGTAACAGATTTCCCAGTGGAGCTGTCCAGAGATCAATACTAGGTGCTTTCCATTTTAAACGTGCGTAAAAGACTTGCCTCAGATGGTTCCTCCTGAATTACTTCCTCTTGCCCACGACGCGAAACTATGGGAGAAGCCAGAAGTCAGAAAGATAGTTTCTTCACACAGAGAGAATTAGCCAAACTTCGAAAATGGCCAGTGAATCAAAAGTCTGCCCCTAACCCTAAAAATGCTAGCCTGTACATCTAAAGCTTGATGCGTGCTATGAATTGGGTCCCAGCTGCTCAGAAGTGGAGGTATCACACATGGAGAATGCTTCATGCATCCTGGCCCCTCAAGAATAAAGATCTGAAGCCAACAAAAGGGGAAATCGTATCATGGAAACTGGATGTTTTTGGCCCACAAACGAATTGTCGAACTACTGCATCATAGATGTTTTCACCAAATTTTTAACAGCTTTATTCAGCCTGAGCTTGAATTCACGACTGTTGTCTTTCCCTCTCGCAGCAGGAGCATAAGCTAAGGCTAGAATCAGCCCAAAGGCCGACCATATTTGTTCGAGACTCACACGTTCCTTGAACACTGACGTGTCTGGACCCATCTGCGTTCTCCTCTGAAATAACCATATATACGCCTTCCGTTGGGATATTTCCTCTAGAAAAGTGAAAGTTTTACTGCCGAAAAGCATCTTCTACGGTACGTGCAATCCTCGGTCGGTCAATATCATCGCTCTCCAGACGGACAACTATGAGGCAGATCTAACTGTCGTAATCAACTGCTAGTAGTTCAGGTTGCTGCATCTGCAGCTTTACTTATCCCATTCGATCATACATCTTGAACTAGCGGGAGGCTTATGGCATTCTTTCATGCCGTACAACTGGGCAATCCTAGGCAAGGTTGACGACGTATATTTGTTTTGATTGCTCTTCCGTGTTGTACTTGGTGCAACCGCCCGTATCTCACTCACTTTTATTCATCTCCAATCACATGCGGAAATGAGTAACAACGGAGTTCTAAGCGGGTCTGGTCTCGGGAATACCTCAGGCAAAGCCTCACTTCGGCTACTGACCCCCCACCCCTGTGGCTACTGGGGTAGAAAGCAAGAGGCTTAATGCCGCAGCAACAGACTATGGGTCGACTTCAGGAGAACAGTAGCAACCTCAAGTTCCTGAGAAAAGTCGAATTTCTGTCGCTCTGAACTCTTATGCTTCAGTTTATCGAGGAGCATGTCTTCCTGGTACATCTAGCCCGAACCCTGGCCTACCTGTGGAGGATACCGCTGAGAGATGAAAGAGAAGGAATAGAAAGTCTTCTACCAAACCTTCCCGTCAGACTGACGACTATCAAACACTCTGGTTGTTGGTGTTCAGTGGATGGCGTGTTGGGACCTCCAACTTCCTGTTCATGCTATTTTCCTGGATTTTGTCAAGGCCGTTGACGCAGTCCCACACACCATCCTTATCCACAAAATATCAAGGCTGGGCATCAAGGGTCAAGTGCTGTCCTAGCAGCAGGACTATTAAGACGGCAGACAATTCTGCGCAAAAGCCGACAGGGTTTGCTCAACTTGAAGGACATCATCATCAGGTACATCATAAGAAGCGATTATGGGTCCGCTGCTATTCCTTCTTCTTGTGGAAGACCTTGCGTTGACGCTCGGCTCCCTAACCCTACGTTCAGCTGACGATGTTAGGTTGTGGAGAACTGTGATATCCGAAGCAGAATCAGGTGCACTGCGAAGTGGTCTCGGATTCCTTGCAGGGTGGGTGGATGACAACGGACTGGCGCTTAATCCGGATAAGTGCCGAACCATGTTTCTCCGCACCCCTGCCTTTTAGGAAGTGCTCTATTCTCTCCGTAGAACACAACTTCCCCATGCCATTACGAGGGAAGACCCAAGACCAAAACTCACCGACAAGCTAGACACTGGCTCCATTTATCTAGGAGATGCCTCCAGAGCCTGCAGAGCAATGCACTTCATGCACGGGCAACTAGGTGCCCTCACCCCGGAGATCTTCCTGAAGCTGCACAAGAGCCACATACCACCTCACTTGGGGGTCCACAACGTCATTGCACTACCATACCTGAAAGGAGCTAGGGACCTCCTGGAGGAAGTCCAAAGGCGAGCAACAAAGAGTGTCGTGGGCTCGAGGCAAATAACCTCTGAGGATAGGCTGAAAGGACTGGGACTGTACTCTCTGAGCTACCGTGGATAGCGCGGTGACTTGACAGCGGCTTATAAAATAGTGAGTAATCCAAGCCATCCAAAAGGTGGAATTCTACCGAACGGCCGCTGTGGCGATACTCGTGGAAACCCAAGGGTAATCCTTTTCCAAAGGGCGAAAACCCGTGTGCATTCGCTCTATTTCTCTCCGCTAGTTTGCGGCCACTGAGGTGCATTGCCTGCAGAGAAAGCTACTGCCCCGTCCGTTGACAGAGCCAAGAAGAGGTTTGACAGTTAAGCAGCGTCGCACTGTTTGCAGTCATCCAGCTGGTTTATGGACTGGGCTGAACAGCCTACTTACCCCGCACAACTCAGCATGGCCGGCGCATTACCTAATCCTTTGTAACGCGACCACTATTTTGAGCCTGGCTGAACCTCACACTTCCCCGTAGATATCTCCAGTTACTATCTCTTACTAATAGTATTACTATCTCCATTCACACAAGTCATCTTATAACGTTATTAGTTCCTTTTCTCCCCACTGACTTTATGTTCTCACACCATTTAATAAGAGCCCTCCCTATCACCCCTCTCCCGTGAATCTATCAAGGTTTCTTCTCCAGTTCCAACTTCTTTCACCCAATCTTTTTTCCCACCTTTTTTTGTTTCTTTTTCTTTGCATTCCCTCTCCTTTGATTTCTCTGGAAGTATTTTCTACCTTCTTTCTACGACCAATCCGACCGATTGTCTGCCGGCAAAACATTTGGGGAACTTACATGCATCACAGTTCTTGAAAAAACCACACTGCCTAAAAATGTAAACAACACCCAACCGCCCATCGGTCTAACCATAGCTACAGCAGTTGAGTTGGTAGACCTACTGCATCGGAACCCACCAAAGACCAGGTAGTCACCAACCTCAGTACCCCCCAACCCCCTCCAACTACCACTCACTTTCCCCCCCTTTATACACCCATATTGCCTACTAATTCTTCTGTAGGAACCAAACCCACGCGACCATTTACGCAATTCCCAAATAATTTTCTTTCGTTCTCACTTCTCTTTTCACCCCTCCTTTTCTTCTGCTTCCCTTTTCTCTTCCCTATATTATCATTTTTTCTTCTTTCTTCTCTTTTTATTCTCTCTTCATTCTTTTACCACTACATTATTCTCTTTCAGGTACCTACACGGATAGCAGTCATGGCAGTTCCCTGAACTTTCCAGTAACCCGTAGCTCCCCAATCACTCTACAAATTACCAATTACTTATTAACCCACAAAACATCCACCTCACCGAAGCCAAAAGCAAGAAAGCAGAGGGGATTTCCTCGTCCACTGCAGGAGTGAACCGAACAACTCGAATCAAGCCCTGAGAACCAGACGCGAGAGATCAAAAAGTACCAGTTTTCTACGCTAGCACTATCAGTATTGGATTGGATATTGGATACAAGCCAGTTGACAAGATAATGAACACAAGATTTAGAAACCGCGCAACAGTCAAGGTAGCCGTTACAAGTATTTGTTAAGGGAGGTTTGGGTCGGCCACCTGTCAATGTGTGAGCTAGTACTCACTTGCTAGCACCTTTTTCAGTGTAAGTGAATAATTCCTTTCTTCTGTGTGTTGATTTCCATGCTCACTTCTAAAATAGATTCAGTCTACTTTTCACGATCTATTACCTTTCACCACTGTTATTCTGCCTCTAAGCCATGCTGTTGTTTGTCAGAAGTTTCGTTACAGTTTTTTTTTTTAGCTTGTCTGGTCAAGTTTAGTGTTACGGTTGCTAATAACCACAGTCACCAATGCATTGGTCGTAAGATAAAATGAAGGCCCTCGTGGAGAAATGCATTAAAATGGCTAGGCGAAATAAGGTTTTTCAACGTAACATATGCTGCTCTCTGCATATTTTTCTTCTTTCGTCTTTTACTTTGTTTTGCGTGTGGGATAAAATGTTTTTTGGTCCACACTGTTTCATACGCCCCAGCCTCATTATTAGACCTATATAACTCTTGAACTTACGGTAAAGGATGCTCTGATAATAAACAAAGTGAAAGTAGTAATTGTGTTTTGTCGACATTTTCACCAGCAAAATTCTCAAGTGATGATAGTGGGATCTTCTGGTTGGCAGTAAAGGAACATGCCTCCAGTTGTTTCATGATTTAACTCATGCTTTAACTACGCTGGGTTTCACTGATCGTTAAAACTATTGTATCCTAGCGTTAACTAACATGGACTTTTAATGTTATGGTACTGGTCAGATGTTATGTGTAGTGTCAGTTGTCTGCATTCACACATCTGTGCCAATCTTACAACTGGAAGGATATTTAAATGTAGTAGAGCAGCTAGTGATGATTAATGTCTGGAGTTATTATGCTACATTGTCAACTATAACGTGTTTATAAGCAAACAGTCCGTTCGGTCGGTTAATGCAGCTCCCAAGTAAGTGAAGTGGTCGACATTCCACCACTTCACTCCTTATCATTAAACCAGTAAGGGTTATAGACCAGTCCTGGAGCGTCATCTTCCATTTGTCAGGTCCCAGCAAAACGCATACCAGACAAAGATACTCAGATTTCCGCTCAAGACCAGTTCAGAAGACCCTGCATTTTGTTAGCGTCTTCACGTAGCATGACAGTATCGTCTGCGTACGCCAAGTCAACCAAATAACCTTCATGTGAAGTCAAAGGGATACTCCTATCTCACTGTTTCTAATATGTAATAATTTCAACTAGCCTATGCATTCCGTAACCTGGTTGTTTTTTTCCTGTTTCAGACCTTTTAAGCAGTTCATCTCCCCCCAGTTATTCTCGTACTATCGACTATTACTACCCTATCCAGTATGAGTCGGTCGGTGTTGGAAATGAATCTCGCTCGCTTGTTATACTGTACTGAATGCCTTGCATCACAGAATGATTTGGGAACCAATTACAACGCTTATGTGAAAACTCTAGAAACATTTCTTAACAAGTTGATTTCTTCCAGTTATCGGCCGTCTGCAGAATCTATGCGTAAATATGAAATACGAGTACGTTTATTTATTTATCTTTTCTGACATATTTCACTCGCCTTCACTGTAGCTTAGTCAGTAGCCTCTTGAGAATCTCACATTCTGTATAATGTGACTAGTTTGCCAAATTACAGTATATTAGGTCCCAGATAGCTGGACATTTGTATCACGATACTCAATTTGGAAATCAGGTGTAACAGATGACTAGTCCAGTTGAAACTGACTACTTTGTCAATCTATTTAATGTAATATATCTTTACATACATTCGGTTATTGAGTTAGTAGTAGTTTAGTTATCGTTAAAACTCTCATTAGTTCTTTATCTAGAGCTTCTTTGATGCAATAGAAATCGTTTTGGTCAATGGTGCAAAGTTCTAAAGCCTAATGAAAATAGTTTCATTCTTAAGTCATCCAATTATGGCATTCGGAAAGCCATGTAATTAGTTACACTTCATCAAGTGTCTCGATTAGGCTTACCCAAGATAATTTATGGCTCACTGTTTGTAGACAATATTGTCCTGCTAGGGGAGGACGCTGACAAAGTGCAAGGTCTTCTGAACACGTTGAGGAGGAACTTTAGTATGCTTGGCTGCCAGCCGTTTCGCTGGCACCTGTCACTTGAAAGATAATGCTCCAGGACTGGCCTGCAACCACCTACTTTAATGAGAAGGAGTGAAGTAGTGAAATATGTAGACCACTTTATTTACTTATGGAGTTCCATAAAGTGGTTGCTGATGAAATCTCAGCATGAGTAGAGAAAGGTCGTTTGGCATTTATCAACCTGTGTATTCTTTGATATTCTTTGATATCTATCAAAGGACGGGTATACTGCGCTGCAGTTCGTTCAGTTATGTTATGTGGTTGCGAGACAATGTCTGTTAGAAGAAAAACATGTGAACCGGTTACAGGTTTTCGATCACAGCTGTTTTCACAGCATTCCTCGCGTTTAGTGGAATTACTGTGTGACCGATGTTGAAGTCAGGCGAAGGGTACTGGTCAATACGACAGACAAGTCGGTTGATGAGGTTGTGGACCGTAGTCAACTGAGATGGGCTGGCTTGGACATGTACTGTGGATGGCGAGCTACCGCCTACCTTGGCGTGCAATGCTTGGGTAAGTTGGGTCGGGTTGCAACAGGTGGTGAGGGTGACCAGGTCAAGATGTGATGCCAGTCGATGAAGGCACTGACTCTTGGTCTGAGGCTTGTGGGGGATGTAGATTGACTACTTGGGATCTACGAGACAGAAGGAATCTGGTTGAGAACTATTGGCGACATGGCTGAAAATCGGTCATGATGGCTCATACGTATTCACTCCTTGACATGTTCTAAAGCTCGAATATTCACACTAACCGTTATCTTCAAATTATTTTTTCTGTCACACAACTTTGTCTTCTTTGATATCACTCGCTTTTTATCCGCTTCTTCTTTGTATACTAATGTGGAGTTCAACAACTTGAGCTGATGGACTTTCCTGCATTAGGCAATGAGCCACACGTAATTTGTGAGGGCTGGAATGATACTAACTAGTCGCCTAAACCTTGCTAGTTGGAGTGGGGTTTGAACCCATAACTCACCGGTTGAAAGTCAGCTTCGTAGGTCAATGATTAGTGGTTAAATTCGGTTCAATGTACCTATGCCACTGGAGTCTAATTTATTCACTGTACACTTCAAATTATGTAGTGAGCTTGTTTGAGCTTGTCACCACATAATGTAACTGAAGTTTACTTGTAGAAAGAATAGAAATCATACACCATTATGATTGAAATCAATCAAGTCTATCAATGGATACTTTTTGTTCCAAAGGTGTTCACTACTCAAAAGGGTAATTCAGTAGTCAGTTAATATTATGATGAATAAGCAATATTTCAACGATATGCATATTGGAAAAAAGCGCAAAAAACTGATAGGCTTCATTTTTGTTTAGCTATTTATATTTTTTTTTTTATCTATCGGTGTTGATGTGTTTTCAAGATCTGTATTCACTGAACTCTATGATATATCAAGAACAAAAGAAACTAGCGTCTGTGGTAGTAATTGTGTAAGTGAACATAATCAGAAAAGCTTGAAATGAATACGGATTTACGGTCACTTCTCGCCAAGGTTTATATCTACATTTACAAATTATTCAGCATATTCTTCATTTGATACCAACATGATTAAATTTTTTGGTGCATGAATCAGAGGATAACAATAATAAGTGCGATAATAACGAAACCAAAATCTCGGAAAGTTCAAATATTCTCAGTAGTCAGCCCTTTTAGGTGTGTGTGTGTGTGTATAGCTAGAGGTACGTCCACAATTTTTTTGCTGTTACCCTCACTTCATCAGACTCAAAGGTTTTATTAATAGGATCAAAATTTTGTGTTGTGGGCAGTCGTCGCACGAGAATCGAAGCTGAACTACAGTGCGAAAATCTCAGTAGTCATATCAGTGATTTAGTCCCATCGTCTTGTGTAAAAGTGGAAGGGTTGAATTCCTTTCTAGTGGAGGGTTGTTATCAGTATCATTCAAGAAAATGCAACGACAGGTATATACTTAGTTAAGGCACACTGCGAAGCATTGCGGAAAATGCTGTCTAACCAAAGTATACTAATAACGAGACCAGACAAAAGAACTGGAGTCATACTCTTGAATAAAAGCGACTACAATCAGAGAATGAGTAGCATCCTCGAAAATACTACAAAGTTTCAGAAATTGGTGAACGAGCGAGATGACACTGAGAAAACAACGAAGGAATTTTTAAAAACATCGAAGACACTGTTAACCAGTGGCACAGTTTCGCGATACACTTTCGAACAAATTAGGCCAGTAGGTACCAACATACCAAGAATGTATGGATTGCCTGAAATCCATAAACATAATGTACCCGTAGCTCCTATCTTGAATATGTTCAATTCACCGTGTCATGAAGTAGCTAGCTAGCTAGCTCGCAGATATACTGAAACAGCTGCAAAATAAGGCGATTAAATGTAACTTCAAGGATACTTTTCAGTTTATTTCGAAAATCGAAGACAAGAACATTAGTAAGGAAGGATTGATATCTATTGATGTTACTTTCTTGTTTACCACTATTCCTCTTGTGGAAACAATTGATTTCATTTGTGGTTCACTGCTAGGTAACAAGATGGAAGTAGGTATACCAGTTGCAACCTTACTAGAGACGCTTCTTCGTTATACGATGAATGTACAATTTCAATTTCACTAAGAAATTTACCGTCAGATAGGTGTGGCAATGGGTTCACCATTAGATCGTTTTCTAGCCGACATGTTTATGGCGAAGTTAGAAAGTGGTCCACTGCGTAGCGCGATAGATAAACTGTCCTTCTATTGTAGATACGTAGATGACACTTTCATTCTGTACAAAAAATGATACTAATCCTGACATTCTTCATCATACATTAAACAGTACTCATCCAGAAATCGAATTCATATGTGAAACAGAGAAACACGAATGTCTACCATTTCTAGATGTTTTGCTATCAAGATGAACGGATGGCGGTATGAGATGCAGTATTTAATGTAAGAAATCATTGGTTGGTCAGTATACACATTTCCGATCATTTGTCTCTTGCATACAAAAGGAATTTAATCCATACACTGATGTTTCGAGCCAGTAAGATTTGCACAGCTGATAGTTTGAACCATGAATTAAGAATAATAGAGAACTCCTTATATGAGAATGGGTATCGTGAAAAGTTCATCAAGACCGTAACAGCTAGAGAAAAGCGCTCTCAAGTGGTGCCGAAGAAATGATTGTACCTAACCTTAGGGTTCAAAGGAGATGCGGATGCAGAAACACTGACATTGAAACTCAGAAGTTCGATATAAAAAACCTTCTTTACTGCCACACTTTGTTTGAAATTTACTACTCGTTGTATGATGCCAATTCAGTTGAAGGATAGACTTCCGAATCTGACCACATCTATGTGCATTTATAAATCTAACTTCTCCTACGAAGATCGTTACATAGGTAGAACGACTGGGCAAGCCCATTATCACTTCATTGAAGACTATCCAGCATGGTTAGGCAAAGGAACGGTGAAATCCATCAACAGCTCAATACTCGCCCATCTAGTAGATACTGAGCATTGGTAAGATTGACAAAACCTCAGCATTTATTATTATTTACAAAGTCTCATCATAATACACTAATTTTGTGCCCCTTCAATTGCTAAGCATAGCAATTAAAATTTTCAAACCTAATTGATGTATTCAGAAGATGTTTGTTCGTTCCCTTTTCCTCCCATGGCCTTCAACTTCAAACCAGATACAATTACAATAATTTCCTTTCCGATCATTCGGATAAGTATAAATATGATCTCTATTTGTACTCTTATCATTATCATCTTATATTTCGTTTTTGGTTTCATATTTGATTAAGAACTTTAGCATTTTATTATCTAATCGCTATACGATAATAATTTTATTTATACTGGGTATTGATTGAAGGTGAAATGAAAATTTGGACTTCAGCCGGACGAAGCAGTGACCACCGGGTTTTTCGCCAGATGCTCTGCCAGTTGAACTATGAGGTCTGACTGCTGACCAGATTTTTATTTCACTTCAATCACCATGTGTCAAACCTCGTAGCTCAGTTGGTAGAGCGTCTGGTCGGAAACCTGTTGGTCGCTGGTTCGATTCCGATCTCTATCTAAATTTTCATTTCACCTTCACTTCACCTTATTATCGCCTTTACTGTTATTTTCTAATTTATATGCCCGGACAAACTTAACCATGTTAGTATCAAATGAAGACTGCGCTGAATAATTTGTAAATGTAAATATAAATCGTGACGAGAATTGGCCGAAAATACGTATTCACTTCATACTTTGTTTTCTGATCACAAGTGAGCATGAGTTTAGTGTTTGTTTTAACATGCATGTATTGTAATGCTTTTTTCTGCTTTGCTTATGCCCTCTATTCAGGTAAAAAGGTTAAAACAGAACTGTGGTCCTATACATAATTTGTATGCAGTATCTAATCACCTGTCACATGATAAATTATCCCCTGGATTGACTGAAGCCCCATCAGCTGATGATAATAATCATGATCGCATAGTTTATGAGACTGTACCACAGAATGAAGATGGGATACATGTTGAAAATGATAATTCACCAGTTATTCATCGTGTATACGCTGATAGATGCGACTTGATTGCAAAAGAACGTCAACGTATGAATCGAGATTTACGAGAACAATTACTAGGTAATATTTACCTTGTTTTATATTTACAATTACTTACCCCTTGTATAGCAAAATACTGATAATTATGATTTGACTATCTAAGATAGCCGTAGTTTGGCAGACTAGTATTTGTACTGGGGGATGATTGCAGGTGAGATGAAAATCCGGCCGCGGTTGGTCGATCTAGATTTCTTGCTTGTCGGCACTCGTTAGCAAGGAGTATCTCCAACCTCGAGGGAAGTGATGTCCCTTGCGAAATTCGAACCTGTGTCACCCAGGACTGAAGGTAGCAACGTTACCACCAATCTAATCCGGACCGCGATTTACTTCTACTACTACTGGGTTACATACTGACCGTTGATCGTTCCTGCAACGTGGCTATGAAACTAGACGGCTCACCATCGTGGTGGACTGTGATGGATGTTAGTTAACTGGAGGAAATCGGCAGGAAGCCTTGGGACTAGGTCTCGTACTTGTTGGGACTCGGCAGCAAGAAGAATTACTCGTTGCCATTTGTTTCATTCATTAGCCTTATGTCTGCAAAACAGGCATTATTGATGTCTGTGTAAGCTTGATTGGAAGATAAGAATGTGAAGTGGATATTTAGGAAGGAGGTAATGAAGCATTCATCTGGACATGAAATCAATCTTCATCCTAATGAGAACCATGGCATGATATCAAGTTTGCTGTAAAAACAGAGGTAAAGACAGTCGGTAAACTACATTCAAAGGTTACCATAAGCTCGTAAATTTCCGCAACGTTATCCGAACTGATTAATGAGAGAACACTTGTTCTAGCTGGTTCTAACCACGATGAAGAGTGAAATCTACTGAAATGTGAGCTGACGATCGCGAGCAGCGGTGGGTGGCGAAAGTGAGTCAGAGAAATGGAGTGGTCATTAACGGTGGGTAAAGCTCGGCAACTGTCTAGGTTTACTAAGGATACCGGCAACGAGAAGACGATGGTGAGTGAAACCATCACCGTAAAGGATGGTGCGCTGGTAGCCTTCTAGCACAAGGGGCTAAAACGTTAAGCAGAACACTTTGAAGAACAGTTCAGCTGGGTCACAGCCACGTTTCAGTTGTCGAGCTTGCAGCCATACGTGAATGGGATGTAGACGTTCTCCAACTCTTTTTGAAGCTGAGAAGGCTGTTTCAAACGTGAAACGATGCAAATCAGCACAACGTGATGGTTTGCCTTCCGAAGTTTTTAAGGATAGAAGTAGGAAATTAATTTGTAGATTAAGGAGACTACTATGTAGTTTATGGGAATCAGAGGTACTCCTGTCGGACTTGTCTACTTCACCGATCTTCTCAGTTTACGAGGGAGAAGAGAAATAATCTTTTGAACACCATAGGGGGATCAGCTTGATTAGCGTCATGTCCAAGATCTGACGGTCCATAGTTATCTGACGCCTAACTGAGTCTCGGGAACCGCAAACTCAGCAAGACCGACCAGATTTCGCAGCGTAGTCATGACTGACTAACATAAAATCAACGTATAACCTTGCACACGACTAAAGTTGCCACATTTCACAGTAGTACACAAAGAATAGGTGGATAGAAAAAAACTCGTATCAAAGTAGGCAAAGTTGTGTGAGAGAATAAACAATCTGAAGATAACGGTTGGCGCAAATATTCAAGCTTTAGAAAATGTCAAGGAGTGAATACATCTGCACCATTGTGACTGATTTTCAGCCATATCATCAAGAGTCCTCAACTACTGATTCCTTTCATCTCGGAGACACCAGCCAGATAGTCTACATCTCCCTACACGACTCCAAACCAACCGTCAACACCTACGTCGACTGATGCCATATCTTGATATGACCATCCTCACTCCTCTTCTAACCTAATCCAATTTTTCTTAGCATGGCACATCGAGGTAGGCGGTGGCTTGCCATGCACAATACCTGTCCAAGCCAGCCATCTCTGGTGACCAAGGTTCACAATCTCATCAATTGACTTGTTTGTCGTCTTGACTACTACCTTTCCTGTGACTTCAATATTGCTTACGTAACGGTGATTTCACCAAACACCAGCAATGCTACGAAGACATCTGTGATCTAAACCCTGTAACCGTTTCATATCCTCTTTTTTTAACGACCATGTCTCAGCCGCACAACAAGACAGAACGGACTGCAGCGCAATGTACTCATCCTTTGATGGATACTTGGATATTTCGCCATTCGGTGCCACTGATGACACAAGTTGGCAAATGCCAAACGGGCATTTTTTTTTATCCGAACTGAGATTTCGTCAGCAACCAGCCCGTTCGGCTGACTAAAGCAACTCTCAAAGTAAGTGAAGCGGTCGACATGTTACACGGTTTCACATTAACTAAAGTGGGAGTGGTTATAGACTAGCCCTGGAGTATTACCTCACATTTGACAGGTGCCAACGAAACGCATGCCAGCCGAACATACACAGATTCCAAAAGACCAGCAAAGTAGAATCAGTCTTCTCGCTTCAGTCAGTTCGAATGACGTCGTAAAAGTCCAATGACGTTTGCTAACCCTCATGTATAAGATACCAATTGTGTTTATCGCTGTTTCTACAGCAAGCTTAGTATTATCATGCCAGGTTTCCTGAGGATGAGCGTTGCTGTCATGTTCAGATAAATGCTTAGCTATCTAGTCCCTAAATTTGGATTTGTTGTCGGATTTGTCACACAAACAGATTCACAACCTTATCAATTAACTTTCCTCTTCTGCCTTAAATTCCACACTTGACTTCTGCATTACTCAAGTGATGACAACGCGACACACAGCCTCTGTTACAAAGGCGACACTGGCAGAATATTTGAAGCCTCATGTGCTCTACCTTGTTTCACAGTCATACAGTAAAACAGAGCGAATGAGCATAGCACATTCAACTCTTAATAGGCAACTGAATATCATAGCAGTGCCTTAAATGGCGTAAGTTGATGAAAGCTGGGCGAGCCTTTTGTATCCATGCATAGATTTCGTCGACCACTGCTGACCCACCCAGGTAAGCGAAGTGGTCAGTGCATTTAACTGCTCCACTGTCTATTGCTAAACAAGGCACTGCTGGAAACTAGTCCTGCGGCAACAGTTTACATTTCAGTGACGAGAGACGCATCCCAAACCTCAAATTTCTACTCTGTCCAGAAAACTCCACAAGAACATCTATGACAAAACTGAATAGGAATTCAGAGAGTAAGCATCCTTGACGAACACTACTCGATGTTCACAGCTCACCTAACAACTAACCGTAGGCTCTAACACCCCTACCTGTGTTTGTTTTGTAATAAAGTTGACAATACTGTACTCTAGTGCCTTTAAAATAAATATGGATTGTAGTCAAGTGTTTTATGAGGACCACTAGTAAAAGGGTGTTTCCAACTGTCCTGCTAATCAGCTGTTTAAGTCGTGAACAAAGATGTTTCTTACTAATGATAGGTTGTAGCTAGCAGTGGAATCCAGGGCGACGTTTGGTTTCATTTGGGACTCGTCAACTCCCAGTGAGTTATTTTATTCCCACTAGGACTCGAGCTTGGGACTGATCACCCTTTCAAACGCCACCATCCACCATTAATATAAAACTCAGACACGGGGAATGTCTAGGTATCCGCATAGGAGCCCATATGTCAGTAGAGACCAGTTGATTCGGTCCACTCAACGACAAGCAACAACACTAAAGGTGTTTTTTGTCGGATTTTTAAATCCTTAAGTTGTACTATAAGGTTAAATGTGTTATTTTAGTCGTGGTTCTGTGTTCTTTGAGCTTTGGTATTTTGTCGAAGGTGACATCCTCAGCACCACTAACTTCTTTATGAACACCGAACCACCATCCTCCTCATTCTGATCTACAAGTCGTTCTCATTATTTTAGAGAATATATTTTGTTCATTGAAGTTTAATTATTTATTCAATTCTCTCTATTTTACTTCACTTTTCAAAGGAGGTGGTAGTAAGTTAACAGATAAGAAATCTCTCTCTGGTCGAAATCAAAGTTCAACTACTTCAGCTGGACTTCTTCGTGAACAAGAGATTAGGCGTGAACAGTTAGCTTCAGAGATGTTATTATTGACTGGTGATTTGAAAAGTCAATCTTCAGCAATGGGTCAACGTATACGATTAGATTGTGAAACTGTTGATATGAGTATTGGACAAGTTGAACGGAATACAACTAATCTTTCTAGTGTATTAGATGAGTTGTCTGTTGAACTCGGTTCAAAATGTGGTCGAATTGTTTGGTTCTTATTTTTTATTTCATTAGGTCTATTTTTATATATGATATTGTTTATGAAAATGTTTCATAAACGAATTCATTCGAATTCACCTAGTCTGTCAAGAACAGAGCTGTGATTATGTAGACTTGAAGAGAGAATTTTCTGTTTTGATTCTCTGAATTCAACTTTAATTTCAAGTTTATATCAGGTGTAGATATTCACTTTTACTTTGTTTGGTCTCTACAGTTCAGAGATTTAACTGTCAATTTGTGGGTCAGGGGTTTGAACTCCTCCTGATTCAGTTTTCCTTTTGTTATTCATACTTTACAACACTTTTGAAGAGGTTTTTTTCTGGATATGACCTAATTAAATACTCCCTTTCAGTAGATGATGAGTAAACTTTGTGACATGTTCACATATTTATCTTCCAGAGCAATGGCTTGAAATTCATTTGTATAGATATTCCCATGATCTTCGGGGCAAGTTATGGCAAAATGTTGAAAGTACTTGACTTTTAAACCATCGAGCATGGGTCGGAACCCTAGGGGATATATATACAAGTTTGGCAATCAGATAGTAGTGTAGTATAGAACACACAAGAAACGAAAAAAATAACAGTAACACTTGTATGAATAATAACGACAACACAAGTAGAAAGGAGTTCACAACCTCCATTGTGTTGCCCTACAAGGAAGGCATATCAGAAACTTTATATAGGATCCTCAACAAAGCTGGAATTAGGGTGGCATTTAAACCTACAAACTCAGTCAGAGATAAACTTTGTCGGCTGGCTTGAACATCCAATAGAACCAATTAAGTGAAATAATATATCTATCAAATTCCATATGATGACTGTGAGGTCAAGTACATAGGTCAAAGTAGCCGGTCGGGGTCAGTTAGAATAGCGGAACATATAAATTTAGCCAAATATAGAATGATAGACCCGAATAAGGTCAATAATCTAGAAAAAACTCAGCCATTGCACTGTATGCATTAACACACAACTACGTAATAGGGTGGGACAAAGCCACTGTACTTAAGTCCAACATAAATAGGTGGAGAGAGAGGGAGAGAGAGAGAGACTGGTTACTGAATCTTTATAATTTGACTATCTATGATAGCCGTAGTTTGGCAGACTAGTATTTGTACAGGTGGTAGAGCACCGAGGCGGTAACCCGGTGGTCTCTTTCTCGAATCCGGCCTCAATCCAGATCTCCATCTCACCTTCAATCATCACCCAGTACTGAATCGTTGTTCATCGAATCAACACCGAACCCAATACATGTAATAGAAGTGGCACAACACCTATACCAGAGATATGGAAGCTTTTACTACAAATAATAACCAACTGTATGAGGTGACGTAACTATAAAAATCAATGTCGAAAGTTGTGTGATTACACATTGATGTGATTACGAGAAACGATCATTTATGCTCGAAATGTCATCAAGTAAATAATACTATACCACTATGTGTTATATACCAAATAAACAAACCTAACATGGAATCAGACAACAGTATTAGACTTTCTCTTAGCTGTACTTATCTATTCAGTGGGAACCAAGTTTATTAGAAGCGACAAATCGATGACTTTTAATCGGTATGCTTGTAAAATGAAGCGAAACAGTCAGTCAGAAGAAAAGGAAAATTTTGTGATCAGCATAATTCTACAGTCTTCTTTGTAAGTCTTTGGATTCGATCGATGACTTTAGAATGCAGAGTCATTTCTAAGAAGTAATCCACTACTTGATTATACGTTGAAAACTTTCAATGAAAAATTACGATACATCACAGGTGATTACCTGCATAACCATATACATCTTACAGTATGAAAATGAAATCATGGAAAGGGGAAGCATATTTCGATAAATATGGTAAATATTGTTTGTTTTCTGAATGAATCTTGCTGGTTTATGGGCAGCAAAGAAAATTGTTACCTGTTGCTTATCTTAGAAAGTGGTGCGGAGTGATAATTGACGGTGAAATGAAAGTCTGTATCGTGGTTTTTGAACTTGAAACAGCGGCCACCCGGTTACTAACCAAATGCTTTATTAACTGAGCTACGAAGTCGAACTACTGACGATGAGAATTTATTCTATTTAACTACCTGTTTATCCCACTGGCTGCCCAACTAGAACGACCTCTTATTATCTTGGTAGATTATTTGTGTTTATAGATGTCAAAACCAAGTTATACTGATCGCATAATATTGGTAAAACGCTTATCTTTCGTTGATGAAATATGAAGGAGGAGGATGTATATTTCCGAATTTCAATCCACTGGCTAACGGTCACGAACTCGAACCCTCAAGGTGTAATGGGCGTGCACTGCTGAAAAATTATAGACTAGGGTGAAACAGCTATATATCATACTCTTAGGTTTTCAGTAGTCGTAAGACCGATTTCACTCTGTGAGTACAATTTACTGTGATATTCACTTTCTGTTTCAGAAACACCAGTTTGGTTTTCGAAATGCACATTATTTTTCTTCAGAGGATAGTACTGACATTGACGGCCATATATGAAGACTGCTTTGAAAAGCAGGACTTTAGGCGCACTAAATGTGGTCAATTTAGGCTTTTTAAACACCTAGACTGTTGCTGTTACGACTTTTCTGGAAGAAGTTGAGAATATATTTTAATATAATCCCATCGCAGGTCCAGAAAATCAAAATAAGATATTTTTGAATGTTTCACCGTGTAAGCTACAGCTTCTTCAGCAGAATTATACACTAAGCTTCAGACCGGAAGAAGAAAATTATCGCAGCCCGATTAGATCTGTTTATTTTATCAGACAGTTGTCGATAACTGAGTAATGTAATTATGTCTCATAATGTGGACCATGAAATTTCAACCTAGTGGCTCGGTAGCAATGTGGTCACTGCGGAACTTGAAGGTCAGGAGTCATGGGTGTGCACTGCTGAGCAGTTTTTTCTAGACAACCCTAAAAATGATGAGGAAAGAACATGTTTTGCATTGAAAAATGCAAGAAAAACTTAAAAGTTACTTACAATTTACAATGCTTACATCGAGTAGTTTTCAAACCGACGGTATTACACTTTCTCAGAGCTGTATGTATTTATTCAATGGGAACCAAGGCCTATTCAGTTGATTTGTCTGTTGTCACTGTCATTCTGTAGATATTTCACGATTGCTCTTAAAACCATTTTGTAAGATCATCTTTGTAGTACTGGTAATCTATTTTAGATGGTAATAAAATTTAAGGATATGTATGATTGAGGTAAGTAATTAATGTTTCTCAGGTTGCTTCACATTATCTGGCTTGGAAGATGAAAATCTACAACACTTTCGATATCCTCTGCATGTGAAAGGTAGTTGAACTAGTTCAATTGGCGCAGCTGAAGTTGATACTGAGTGATGATTGAAGGTGAGATGAAAATTTGGACCGAGGTGGGATTCGAACCAGCGACTACGGGGGTACAAATTTTCACTTCATCTTCAATCATCACCCAGTTTTAGTACAAGTCTGCTAAAGCGCAACTATGTCACTCAAATAGTCCAAATGATAAACACCTGAAGTCATCTGTAGGAAAATCACAGTCGCTTATGTTAAGAAAAATATTGAACCTTCCAATGAAGTCTCATCAGCAAACATTTTCTTTTCTAGCATACGAGTATGCAGTGGTCTTTCACTCTGAGTCCCTACTCGATATTGCCTTCTTCTCTCCCAAATCTTCAACTATCGATAGTTACCTTATTTTTGTGTTTTCCAACGTCGTGCCACATACTACTGATATGAATTCTTCTAAGTAGCGCTCACTACAACAATTTGTGTTATACCAAAATGCAGTTGTTGCTAGTTAATGTAAAATATATTAGTATGAATGAGATATGTCTTAGGAACTGAGTTAGAATCTCAGATAAGTCAGCTGGTGGAGCAACAGTTTTATTCTTCACACTGTATTGACTTTCCAAAGGCCCAGTGTCTCCTAACAACTAGTTATTTTTTTTACATGGTAGTCGGGCAAAATCCTTGGTGATTGAAGTGAAATAAAAATCTAGTCAGCATTCGGACCCCGTAGCTCAGTTGGTAGAGCATCGGACCGGAAACCCGGTGGTCGCCGGTTCGAATCTGGCCGAGATCCAAACTTTCATTTCACCTCCAATAATCATGCAGTATAAATACTAGTCTGTTACGCTACGGCTATCTCAGATAGTCAAATGATAATCATTATGATGCTCTCCCTCTCCTATTCAGTTATATTTGGATTGGGATGACGAGTCCTGACTAGGCAGCCAGTGTGAATGCGATCAATCTGTAGCAACGCGTGACGGATTCGCATGGTAGTCGGGCAAAACCCTTGGTGGTTGAAGTGAAATAAAAATCTGATCAGTAGGTGGACCTCGTAGCTCAGTTCGCAGAGTGTCGGGTCGGAAACCCGGCGGTCGCTGATGGAATCCGACCGAGGTCCGAATTTCCATTTAACCTTCAATCATCACCCAGTATAAATTATTGTTTTTACCATGAAACGATTCGAAGTGGATGAATATTATAAACTATGGACTACTCAGCCATTCCATAGTTTGACAGAATTACAGGAGGAAAGTCTGAATCTCAGTAAAATCGGAACAGGTGACATCCAGACTACTTATGTATGGCACTTTGCCAACTGGGCTACGAGAACCAATCACCAATCAGATCTTAAATCCACTTCACTAATCGAATCTCTCCAATGAAATCTTCTCGTCCTATTACAGATTGAGCTTAATTGAAGAGAAACGAACTGGTCGGTAATAAGACGATTTCAAATGACACTGATCAACAGGTTAGTGCTTATTATGTGCTAGAGAATCATGGGTGAAGACAGGAAAAGGATTTGGGTTATGAGCATGTTATAACTATTCGAATATTTTCAATGTATTTAGCACTGAAAGTTAGAGCAATGTATTAATTAGGGTTATGCCTCAGGTACATCCAGCTGATGAGTCGCAGATAGGACGAAACGCGTGTCGTTAATTCCTGTGCTAGTCACCAAGATCAATGCTTCAGACAAAGTAATCACTGAGAGTCAGATTAATAGAGTTAAGCAATACTCAGTCCGTCTCCACTTTTTTCTGCATATTTGTTGGGCGATAGCTTGTTGGTTGGTTGGTTGGTTGCCACATTGAGTTTCTTGTTGCTTGTTCTTACTATTCTGGCCATCTGATCCTCAGTATCGAGTGAGCGTAGTCGACAGCTGTTGATGTTTGTCTGTGGTTTGTTGGTATTGCTTTTCGTAACGCGCCAAGTTTCTGAACCATATTGAAGCATTGACTTGACTAAGTGTTGAAAATCCGGATTTCCTTCTTTATACTGAGTGCAGTAGATCTCCACACCGATTTCAAATTAATGAAGGCCTGTCCTGCTGTCTTTCCGATCCTGGCTTTGATGTCCTCATCTGTGCCACCTGTACTTGAAACGATGCTGCCTAGGTAGATGGAAGAGACTACTTCCTTTTGGTTTCTCCCGTTGATGGTGATTGGCGCTTGTTGTTAGTTGGGTATCTTCATCACCTTTGTCTTCTCTACATTCACCTGAAGGAGGTCCCGTCTACGCTGCTTCTTCCATCAACTTGGTGGTTTTTGACTGTAGATCTTCGAGTTTATGCGGCGAGACGTTAGACATAAATCATCGGCGAAATCCTAATTGTCTCCTGGGGTGTTTTCATTGATTAAACAGCGTATGCCCTTCTTCTCGCTCATCACAG